ATACATACATACATATATATAGATACAGATGTCCAGTCATATATGATATGTATATATATATATATCTATCTATCTATATAAATATGTGTATATATATAGGCATATGGATAGATGGGTGTGTCTATATACATCTGTCTGTATATATATATATGTACATGTATGTATGTATGTATGTATGTAAGTATCTATATATATATATATTGTATACACACACCTAGAAATATGTATACCTGTATATTTGCTTATATGTTTATACTTATGTAACTACGTATCTATATACCTATATACTTTTATACCTATATATCTTTAGAGTTATATATCGATGTGTCTGTATAGCTACATGTCTATATAGATATATGTATAAATATATATATATATGTATATATGTGTGTGAATATATGTATATATATGTATGTATATATGTGTAGATATTTATGTGTTTGTTTAAATTTATACTTATATTTATATTTGTATTTATGCTTATATTTAGATATATATATATATCTCTTTATGTATATGTATATGTATATTTATATTTATATATGTATATACATATGTGTGTATATGTGTGTATCTATATACGTATATATATATATATATGTGTGTGTGTGTGTCTGTGTATGTGTGTATATATATATGTGAAATATCTATACATCTGTATGTACATACTATATACATATATACATACCTGTCTGTCTATATATTCATAAGAATATATATATATACAAAGGTATATATATTCATATATCTATCTGTCTATCTACCTACCTGTCTGTCTATCTATCTATCTATCTATCTATCTGTGTGTGTTGCTGCGTATGCATGTTATTTTGTGTTTTTATGTATGTATGTATGTATGTATGTAGGTAGGTAGGTAGGTAGGTAGGTAGGTAGGTTTGGTTGTATGTATGTATAAGCATCTCGGCTCCCATGAAGGAGCCAAGCTGTGACCTTCTGTGACGAGATTGCTAAGCAGGTGACAACAGAAATCCGTACAAATGTATCGCAACCGTACGCTCGATGTTGAGGCGAATGTTGGAAGCAGCATGTGTGCAGGTATGCAACACCATGAGCGAGAAAGACGATGACGATGATCAGTGTGCACACGTGCCCATGCTAAGGAAAGCCGTCGAAGACAAAGGGAAAAGCTCCTTCCAGACATTGTAGCACAAATCAGTCATAATTAGTAGTCCTCACTCATGCCCCGGATCATTCTTCGAGCAAGTCGCCGAAAAGAAACGTGCGACAGAGGAATGCATACGGCTCAGGCTGCTGTTCCAGCTGGAGGAAACGGGATATCCGTCGAATCTCTCTGGAAGCTTCTTCACGACTCAGCTCTTGAAACAGGCCATGGCTTCCGCTGCCGTCATCTGACGTATAAAACTCCTGGCAATTCTGTGCAGACCTATGCTGTAGACCTGGGTGAATTGTCATCCTTACTCGGACTGCAACGGTCCTCTGCCCGGCTGAGTGCGCGCCGGCATAAGACCCATCTTCCAAGCATCGCTGCCGCATGGGCCAGCGATAGGTTCATTGCAGCCATCGCATCTGCCTTTTCTCGCCGCAGTCTCTCCTGCCCGAGCGTCCAGGCATCCAGTTCTCGAAGTCTCGAAGGACAGAAGTAAAGCAAATGATCAGAACAGCTCATTTTGACGCTCAGGCCTGGATCTCAGGCGATGCTTCCAGATCGTGGCTGAACTTGCAGTTGACCCCCTGCCGAGTTGATTCCAGCACGCGCTTGCTCTGGCGAAGACATGGACACACCGACAATGGCCTTTGTACACGTTCCAGATGCCCAGAACTTGCAAGCTTGCTGGCCCATCTTCTTCGCCCCACAGTCTTGCATGCTCGGGGTGGCCTTCTGCAGCTTCCTTAGGCAGTGCTCTGCAAGAACGCAACTCTTCTGGCACCTGTCAAACCGTTACGTACGCAAACTTTGCGGCAAGTGTCTGCATCACATCCTGCAACAGCTGTTGTGCGGGGAGTGGGCAGGTATGTACAGAAAGGAGAGGTGGTGGATAGAAATAGGGGCTGACAGATGATGGCACTACATGCTAGCCCCTCGGTCCTTCATCGTGTTAACCCGGAGTCCCTGGCTAAAGAGCTGCGCGACATAGCGCAGACTTGTAAAATCTGGGACGAGCTGCCAGCTGCTCTCCTTACGGCCGCACTTCATTGGCAGGGAACTCTGATGCGGCTGTCATCAACATGCTCAGCTGTACACCATTTCACTGAACACTTCGCTTGCCATCGGCACGTCACCATGGAAAACGCAGCCTTTCGTGAAGAAGGACAGCAAATCAAGAACCGCCTGGCAGGATGGCTCGGTCCTCGAAAGAAGGCGTTGACGGCCCGAGCATCGGGTGCGACGCCCTGCTCTACCATCTCGTCCAAAAGCTCCCGCGCTGCGCGCAGATCACCTGCTTGGCAGTAACCTCTCAGCAGGATCGTGAAGATACCTCGAAGCAGTCAGCGAAGGTCGGGGTGCTAAGCTGCCAAATGCCACCGCACGCGAAGCTTCCGACAGGGCCGTGCGGGCGAGCTTCTCACATTAGGTTTGATGCCGCGCGTCTTCATGGTTGACATGATTTCCAGAGCTCCCGCAAGATCTGCGGTGCGCACGTACGCGTTAATGAGGCTGGAGAAAGTGTAAACGCTGGGCTGCAGGCCCTCCTTCCTAAGATGCACCAACTACGATTCAACGATATCTCAGAAAGACTCCACGTCGCTATTCGTCACGATTGCCACCAAATGGCTCGAACTTCTCAAAGATGCTGATGGCCCGTTTCAGTTGCTTGCTTTTCGCGAACTCTGCAATAGTCTTCGTCAGAGCCTCAATCAACGTCTCCAAGCAGAAGCAGAAAAGCCTTGAGGCCCTTGTGGTCTGCTTGGACATGCACTGCATCACAACAGACTTCACTTGACAAGATGCTTGCGCACGCAAACTCTTCTCCGGTGTCGTGTGTCGGGAACCTGCGCGGCGCTTTGGAGGCCATGCCAAGAGATGTGTCACGTAAATGTGCACCTCCCAGAGCGCCTGAACCTCCGCCTCGCCCCCTGCCGCGCGGGCGTGGTCGGGAGCGCCACTTCTGCGGCATCGCATCGCGTGGAGCTGCGACGACCGCGCGACATGGCAGCACATCACAAGGCCGCTATATGAAAGGTTCTCATTGCCGAAACGGCGTTGGCACCTAGCTAGCCAATTGCTAGCCAGTGAAATCAAGTGAGAGACCTTACAGAGCCTTACAGCACACGGTGGGCTTCCCCTACATGGCTTCGGCACAATGCATCGTTGGACAGATCCTCAACAGGACGCCATCAAGCTCCCAGCCATCAAGTGCTGCCTGCAATGTGGACTCCACGGACAGGAGGCCTCAGCACTGAGTACTGGCAGACTAGCCAAACTGGAAAAAGGCAGCATGCCAGAGTCCTTCAGCTCTTCCATGCGATTGGTGCGCCTTTTCTCAGCATCTTACAGCCCGCCCATTCCAGCCCCACGCATGTTTAAAACATGAGCAAGGAAGCTGGAGCGGGAGAGTCGTCGTCGAGGAAACTTGACATCTCGTCGTCTGGCTCGGCGGCCTCCTCAAAGCTCTCGGCATCTCCATCTGGTGGTGGGCTGCCAGACGAAGGGCAAACCACTACAAGCGTGAACATTTTGGCCCAATCTTCGAAGTTCATCCAGAAGCTTCCATCGTTTCCTCGGTCCCATGATCCACAAACCACCGGAAAGCTGACAAGGCATTGAGTCCTTCACGCGAAACAGCAGTGCAACTGAGGTGAAGGCGAACTTGCGTGTCAAGCTTGGCCATGAGATCCGGATTCTGTTCCCACTTCTCACTCCTGTCACTCCAGTCTCCGGACCACTCGCTTCTCCCCCAAGGATTCCGAAGCAAAACGAGATGAACCTCTGTACCATCGTCCTGTGTCTCAGACACAACTTTGAGGACAGCATAGTAATGCTTCAAATACAGGCCGTTGCTTTTGGCCGCTTCGGCCCCTTCCGCTTTGCTAGCATTCATGCAGGAGAGGATATGGTCCTGATGCCGGTGGCTCTGGAGCAACTCGAAAAGCTGGTTCGTATCGTGTGTGTCCTTGTTTTGCCATTTCCACCAGCTGCTTCGAGGATTCCGCGCCCCACGCTCCAACTGCTTTTGCTGATGCATGAAACGTCTTCTCCAATTATTCTCCGACACCTTCTCAAACGACAGGACATGAATTGCACCGGTGAGAACTTGGAATGCCCAAGCCACACCTCCTCCGGAGAGAGCCCCATAGCTTCCGCAGAATTTGGCCATGGCTTTTTCGATAAGTTGCACCCAAATCTCTTCACCCAAAGGTTTGGCGAAGGTGGGCACCGCAACTCCGTTCTTTATGTTGCACGGAATGAACTCGTCAACCGTAGTCTCCGTCCAAGCTTCCGTGCCGATGTCGAAAAGCTGAACCACGTACTTGCCTTCTTCATTCAGCTGCCTGGAACTGGGAAACAAAGCCTTGATGCGGGACGGGTAGTCGGCCAGAGAGCTAAGGCACGACAGCAACCAGCAATCCCCCAGACTGCCTTGAACGATGTCCTGTGGCCGGATCTGATCGAACAGAACAGCCTCTGCTGGATCTCCCAAAGCCCGAGCTCGAACCCAGACTTCGGGACTCCCAACGTGGAACTTTGTCGAGGACTCTCCGATGCTTGAGTTGTCATGAAGGAACTCACCATCTTGGAACGCGTTGGGGTCATCCTCCACTCCTGCAAACTCCGATCGCGACGACCACCGGTAATTCCATTTCCACGACTTCCCTTTTTCCACGACATCAAGGAGAACCTTGGAAACCTCTTCGCCGGGGCGTAACAGAAACTCGGCAGGATTCCCGAGAGGAAAAGCCATGTTTTTACAGCCGTTGAAGGTGAAAGTGAAGCGCTTGCTGACACGATCCGAGGGGTTTATGATGTGCACGGTGACATTTTTCTGCTTGGTGTCTTGGACAGCCTTCACGGCTGTCCCCTGTTTTGTAAGCCAGGAGATGAACTCATGCACCTCAAATGTCTGAAAAACGTGAGCACGGAACAGATGCACAACAAGAATGAAACACAATGCTGCTGCTCTCAAGCAGTTTCGTGACTTAAGCGAAAGCTGCCATGCATGATCCACGGCACCTGGATGACTTGATCCTCAGGCTCAGGATTTAAACAAACAAAAAGTAAAGCATTCCGCTCCGAAGTTTCCCCGCACTTTCGAGCTCTGGCCTGGCCTTGCTGGTGTCTGCAGCTATGAAGACGCTCTCTGCATCCTTTTCGGATATGCCGACCTTGCCGAAGATGATCTTCATCTCGGTTTCTGACAACACACCATCTCCATTCAGGTCGTACCTGGGCTGCTCACATCGATCGCGCAGTATCGACGATCCGGCGCCCCTTCGAGTGGAACTCTGCTGCAGCACTTGCGTTTCTGTCAAGAGGCTTGGCAAAAAGCTCTTGCAAACGTCGTCTGCCGGCCATGTGGTCCAGTGATTTGTGCAGCTAATAATTCATGGCCGGTGCTATAGTTTCTTCTAAACATTCATTCAAGCTCTTCTGTTCTGCCACACAATCAAGCAGACAGCATCACAACAAGGGCAGAACTGCGATGAACTGCGAGGTCTTGAGAGAGCTGCGCTGAACCTCGATGGATTGGTTCTGGAGCTCTTGCACCTTCAGAAACCGAGAAGTTGGAGCACGATGCGTCCACTCTCCAGGCATGTCCGAATGGCAACAAGACGTGCATCTTGGATGCCCAACCGCTTCATACCTCTGCTGCTCCGCCGACGCTTTCACCTCCGACACGCGCAACATGAAACGCATAAACTGGCTTGCACCTGCTGTCTCATACAGTGTCTGCGTTTGAACATCCTGAACCTATGCCTGACCATATTGCTACCATACTGCATGCGCTTCGTCTGAGCGGTGGGGTGGGGTGTTTACTGAAATCCTAGACGCCCCCTGGCGGTCAGGACTCACAGTCATGTCTTGTCATGTACCTTCAGCAATGGCTTAACACTTGCATGTATGCGTCGTGACCGTTTCTGTCTCAAGTGGCTTCAAGACACAAGCGCTTTCCGCGTGTAACAAAACCAACTGTGTTGTCCGAGTGCAAGGGCAAGCCTTTCGACTCACGCACTCGCTCGAGGCTGGCATGGCATTCGGTGGTCTGAGCTTGCTACTGTTACATCCCAGGGCAAGCACAATGTCAACAACCACACCAATAACAATAAACCAAACCTGTGCTTGCCCAGGACAGCTGCTCCAGTTGGTTCACTCGAGCATTCAGCTCTACCTCCACTATTTCAAATCATGTCCCTATGCGTCTCAGAACTGTTACAATACTGTTGTGAAAGACTCAACAGCCGACGACAACCGCTTGTGCAGGGCTCAACTGTCTGGAGATACTTTGAACTGATTATACATACGGCAGTCTCAGGGTCTCAACAATGCATTGTTCAGATTCACGACTTGCCCTTTAGATCCTCAGGGATCACACCTGCACCACCACAGCGGTTGGCTCCGGCCAATCGCTTCCCGAGGCGTGTGCCGAGGATGTCGTCACACTCCAATGATGACAGCAACAGGGACTCCTCCGGAGGATACTCGGAGGACGAGACATCTCAAGGTCCAACATCTTATGCCGCAAGCCAGGCACATGGTATCTTGAGCGAGAAAATGCTCAGCCATCTCGGTATTACACCGTAAATAGCACCCGCTTGTGATAGTCTTCGGACGAACTTACTCGTCACGATCCTGGTCAGCAGTCGTAGCTTCCTCACAATGCCGGTCCTCCGGAACCTGAGAGTGATGCTGACTCTGATGACACACGTTATTACTCTGATGAAGAAGGCGATTTAGTGATCGACGAAAGCGACTGACTCTGTTGACAAAGGAACAGAAGTTGTGTTGTAATGCTGGATCGTTTTCTATGCCGAGATATCTTAGCCGTAGTCCGGTAGACGTCAGAGAAGTGACTTCGCATGTAAGCTCTGACAAAACACGGTATCGTCCTACTCGCAGGGACAGATCCGGTATTCGCGAAGAGTATGACCTCCAAACAGAGGATGATAAGGCTCTTTGTAATCCCTTTCCAGGGTTCTGCGAACCTTTGACAAAAAGGCGCAAAGGGGGGGTGTAATCCGTCTGTTCCACTCGTTCCACTCGCTCCGACTCGCTCCGACCGTTCCACACGTTCCACTCGTGCCACTGGCTCCACTCGCGAGCGGCGCGAGAGCCGCGAGTGGCACGAGTGGACCGAGTGGCGCGAGCGGCGCGAGTGCAACGAGTGGAGCAGACGGAGTATAAGCTCCCCCCACGTACACAGTGTCTGCTCATTGCGACCGCGCGGGGGGGGGGGGGCAATTAAAGTCGTCGGCGCCACTCGCGCCACTCATGAGAACTTGTATAAGAAACAGTTTGACGAAGCCAAAGCTGCTGAATGCCAAAGCTGGCTCGACAATGAAGTCTCTGAACTTGTCGATACCAAGAAGCTCGGCAAGATAAAGATCTCTGTTGCCGGCCGCTGGGTCTTAACTCTCAAAAGAGATAAGGACGGTAACTTCTCGAAGTGTAAGACCAGCTGGGTCTTACGAGGTGTCCAAGACCGACAAAAGGATACTCTGCAGACAGACACCTGCTGTTCGTCGTCCAGATTTTCGTCTTGCCATTCAATTGGCAGCGGACAAATTCTGGAATCTGACGCACATCGACCTTCAAACTGCTTTCCTGCAAGGAGAAGCTTATGATGAGTCAAGAGACATTATCTGTCAGATACCTCCAGGAGCCGGACAGCCTCCTTGGATAGCAGCACGAATGAGAAGGCTGCCTACTGTCTGAATGACGCACCACGTAGACGGTGGAACAGTGTTGACCAGGCTTTTTTGTCTTGCGGCCTCGTTCCAACTCGTGCAGACCGTTGCACCTATGTTCTCTCCGGCAGGAAATCCGCTGCAGCGGACCGAGCTTAAGCCGACAGAACCCAAAAGCATGGAGGCCGCTATATTGATTATCTTCTCGATCCCATTGCTGGCAACAGTGCCAAGGGTAGAGACGTACATGGTGTTGTGTGTCTTCATGTAGAAAGGCCTCTGTATGGCCGGTGACGAAGTGTTTCGAAAAACAGTCATCGATTCCATTAAGAGAGATTTTGCAGTCGGTTCTGAAGACACTAGTGATATCATGTTTGTAGGCCAGAGGGTTGTGTGGAAAGGATGCCACAGAAACAACTCCTGCACATATCCCTGTGAACCAAAACCTTGCAGTTGAAGCAGTCGAAGAAAATAATGTTGACTAGAAGCTTTAGAATGATCAGCCCTACACTCCCCAGCAGCACACTGCCTACAGGAGTGTTCTTGGTCAAATCAACTGACTTCAGAGCCGTACTCAAGCCCCTTTTCTCTATCGGATTAGCCAAGTCTGCAGGCAAGGTCGCCAAGCCAACGATTGGCGATGTCAGAGAACTGAACAAACTTGTTCGTATTCTCAAGACAGCACAGGTAGAACTTAGGTTTTGGCCTATGCAAGGCAAACTTCGTATTTTAAGTTATCCGGACGCTTCGTACAGGAATAACGATGATAAGTCTTCACAGAGAGCTCACGTTATCTTCCTGGCAGAAGACGGGAACCCTACGGTTAGGGGTCTGCAACAGTCAGCCGGCGCTGCTTCTTCCAAAAAGAGTGACTTCAGCCAGTCGGCAATGAAGGAAACTTTCTCTCGAGGAAGCTTTATAGACTATGAACCTCACAAGATTACTACCACAACTATGTCTACTACTGTTGCAGAGCTCAATGCTCTTACGGGGTGTTTTGGAACCTGTCTGTTTTTATGGGCTGATCTCTCATCAGAGACTGTGTCTATTCAAACGTTGACGATAACCTTGTAACAACAGCGGGAACAACACACCTGCCAGAACAGAAGGAGGCTCACCACCTTGTCCAGATGCTTCGAAAGGAGTCAAACTCTGGAGCGCTAGACGATCTAACACTTGTGCGTTCCAAATACTGTTTAGCAGATGCCTTAACCAGGCATTCTGCACAGCCGGATGAATTGACTCAGGCCCTGGAAACAGGGAACCTCCCAAAAGTAGATACTCATCCGCCATTTCGTGAGCTTCTCCAGCATAAGGCTTTTACCGTTCGCTGGGTGCTCAAGTATATCAGCAATGCTGCGGCCGCGATTGCGATGCTCGGTGTCGATGTCCCCTCAGAGATATATCGACTGTTTTACTATCAGGGCATATGGTGGTAATGCTCATGATGCAAGTGCACGTGCGTATAAGCCGGATTTTCAATTTAGACTATTTCATGTCTAAAATTAGCATCTGCACTCTACATGGTCTACATGTCACAACATGTGCCACCTTGACTTTTGTACCACAGCCGCTTTGTCTCAATGACACCATCTTCCCGCTTTCTTTTGCACATCCCTTCAGGCAGACCATGTCAACCTTTTCCGGGACCGTCAGGGACACGCGCTTCCTGACGCCGTCTCCGCACACGGAGGAAGGCACCCCTACGGAAACCAGCAGTACCCGTCAAACCGCCGACAGGTGGAATGGGAAACCCGTCAACGCATTGAGCCTCGGCGAAAGGACTCAACGCGTCACAAGAAGGACCATTTCCCCTTTAAGCGTCACACTGGACGGTTGGAAAGTGGAATTGGTCGAAGGCTTAAACTTGGCACATCGCATTTGCGATGCCTGGAGGTTAGGAGCTGACATGCTCGGGCCGGATAGATGTACCCAGGAGTGCTATCTCCTGCCTGGGAGAGAGAGAAGTCCCTTGTGCTACTGGAACGGCCTGAAGGAAAGGCATGCGGCAGATCCCAACGAATTCATGACCTTTCCCTTTCTGCATATGCAACTCGGCCTCCCAAAGGAGATAATCAACCGTATCTAGGCTTCGCAAGGCCACAAGACTATATGCGGAAGACTGCCTTGCCTTCCTGCCCGAACAAGGTAGGTCGCTGGCTCTGGTAAGGTTACGAGACACATGCCTGATAAGGAACCCTCAGCGGTTCAGCGAAGGCCGGCCAACCGACTTCATCCCACTGGATCTACTGGCCAAATTAGAGCAGACTATGCACCTCGAGAGTAGCTGCAGCAGCGATTCTTAACGCCAAGGGCAGATTTGTCGTTCATGCCGATTACGTGAAAGGCAACAACTTAGTTTCTTCAGACCCTGGCCGTAAGATTCCGAATTACGCATGGGTTGGTGATATGCGTACTATCTCTCCGCACTTGCAGGTCACAGTGCGCGTAAGGCGCCAGTTTCTGCGGTTCAGGAACCAGAACCAGAGGCAACACGCGAGCCTGTAAGACTCGGTATTATATGGCAGATGGCTCCACACCTGCACAATCCAACGCCGATCCTGTCAAAACAAATGCATCGAGACCTCCGGGTGTATTGAATACGTCGCGCACGACGAACCCGTCTTTTTATCACGCATGCGACTGACTGTGAGTCGCTGCTGCTCATCATCCGTAGCCTAGTGCCAAGCAGCATTTTCAAACGTGCGGTGCTGCCTGTTTACTAAAATCCTGGATGCCCTCTGGCGGTTGAAACTTACAGTCGTGTCATGTACCGTCGACAGACAGACACAGACAGACACAGACAGACACAGACACACAGACAGACAAACAGACAAACAGACAGACAGACAGACAGGCAAACAGGCAGTCAGGCAGACAAGCAAGAGCTAACGCCCAGACAAGCAAACAGGCAAAAAGGCAGACAGCCAGACAGACGGACAGGCAGACAGGCAAACATGCGGACAGGCAAACAGGCAGACAGGAAGACGGCAGACCAGGAAAACGGACAGACAGACAGACAGACAGACAGACAGACAGGCAAATAGATCGATAGATCGATATATAATCAGATGGATGGACAGATTGATCGATGCATGGATGGACGGATCCATAGATAGATAAACAAACAGACAGGTAGACAAGGCAAATAGGTAGTGCACGGACATGGGTGCATGGGCATTACAGTAGTGACTCAGTAGTGCGCGTGCAAGCTTAATCACGAAGTGGCAGCAGGCAGTACAAACAACGATGGGTTCGGGCCAACTAAGGAGCCATGCACATGCCTAGATTCCTAGATGTGAAGAAAAACAGCGGTCACCAACAAACGCTGACATAACCGAGTGACCGAGTACGAGCTTGCATGGTTGCGCACGTACACACATACACACATACGTACATTCTAGCACTCGCTCTCGACGCATCAGGCGAGGTGTAGGGTAACCGGTAACACAGCAATGCCAAGACTGAGGTCCTTTCGACAACAGTGTCAAGCTAGCCAACGTCCACAACTTTCCAGCCAGCGCACAAATTCCAATCTACGATGCGTTCAAAGATTCTGCATGGGGTAATGCTGTGAAATCGCTATAGTTCCTCATCATTTCCACGGCCACTAACCCCTTCTTTTGCTTCTGCTGGGGAGGAATGCAAAACCGAAACTCCCTGAGGGTGTGGAAGTTTCCCTCCAATTCCACTCACCCTGCGTCACTTGTAGCCTGCAAATGCTGGCACGGATGCTTCATGCGAGGAACCAGCCACATACCAGGATTTTGCGAGTTAGTAACTGCTAGTATAGGGGGCGTTGATGACTTGAGTCCTACGGTCTGTCAGCAATCCATGCAGTCATGTTGCCGCAATTCTGCGTGCAGGTGTCAGAAACCACTCGCTTGAATGGAGCGGCTTCTGAGACACCAGGTAACTGTTGATGAAGCTGCTCATCTCCGTAAATCGGAGGCCAAGCTGGGGCCGGAAGCAGGGAGCCCGTTGGGGCGGAGCCCCTCCTAGGCGACATAGCGTATAGCGTTGTGGAAATGACCGCATACATGTCCGCGCCCCTAAGCCTGAAACAGCTGCTGCTTGCCGATCGGAGGTCCATCAACGGAAGCCCTGATCTCAGCCTGATTTCTAAACTTTAAACCCAAATGAGCGCTTCCAGTTGAGAGCTCCGCTTCCGATGGCAGGCTATGTCAGTCCGGTACGGATGTGCAAGTGAGCTTTGGCTGGCCGCTGGGTACGGTGAGCACCATACAGCCTGCGCATCTGCCTCTGGTTCATGTGCTTCTGCGGCTGTTCCGCAGTGCCGTCACAAGATCGCCACCCGTCGGCCCGTGGCTACCCACAAGAACCGAGCAGGCAGAAAAAGATGTTCTAGATGACACATATACGCATCAAACAAATGTGGCTAAAACGCCGGAGGCGAGGTCGAAGGTTTGGCGCTGCTAGCATGGCTGCCACCATACGAAACCAAGCATTGGGAACGATCGTGCGGTCATGCTACCCGATCTCCCACAATCCTAGAACCGATTTAATCAGGCAGCCGGTTGAAATCCTTCTGGCCCCTTTCCTCTTCTTCTGCAGAGCTTCTGGGCACAGGTTGGCAGTGTCATCTGCTGTGGAGATGGCTGTTCCCTAGAAGCTGGCATTCAGGTTAGATATGCATATTAACATCTGGGTTGAGGTATGTGGCCTCAGCTCAGATATTGACATCTGACTGTGATGACTGCATGGCCCATCAAGCTGCTGGCCGCCTCTAAAGGAACAACTCTAGAAGGACCAAGGCTCAAAAGACCGCCCAAAAAGTATCCAAGTTTGTAGAGGGTTCGATTCAAGCTGCAACAACAGGATGCTTCTTGAGGAGTGCACTGATCTCAGAGAGCCTCAGGACAAATGCAATAGTCCGTGTGTCCTTTTCAGCTACGGCAGGCACCTGCTATGGGCGACCGCTGTCTTCGTCGAGGCAAAACTCCTAGCCTCTTTCGTCCTTCGTTTCGAAGACATGATCTAAGAACCACGCAGCAAGCCAGTCCTGCTCTCTTCTAAGGCACCTATCCTTTTCATGTAGCCTACACGGTAAGCCCTAAGGACTACGCAAAGGTCTGAGAAGGACTGCTGCTCATGGTAGCAGACATGTGGGCCGGCGCGGCGGATGCTGGCGTCGGTTGAAGTACCGTATACATCATGCTTGCACGAGATGGGCTGCTCAAGCTCTGCGGTGCTTTGTTTATATGTTTTTCGCAGCCGCCCACGCACACCCCGCCGATTTTCGCGGGACTTCGCTGCCGAAGTTTAAAAACGCATGAAAAAGTTTTACAAAATTCCACTCTGCAAGATATCCCAGCTAAGTTCGAGGGGCGGTCCTGGGGAACCTAGTTCTGGGACTGCGGGGACATCAACAAAATGGAAGTTCAGCCCACTGGCCCAACAGGTAGGCGGGGAGGAGAACTGTCTTACCCTCATCGAACAAGGTGACTTTTATGAGCTCCTCCGCCGACTCGTGGATTTCCTGCTCGACGCCTTCCTCGAGCACCACGCTCTGGATCCAGCCGCGCTTCTGGCCTTGGTATGCCATGAAGAAGTTGTTCTTCGGGAAGCGCCGGCGCAGAGACTGCAGGGGGAGCACGTAGGAGCGGCCGCTGAAGGAAGTCTCTTCACCAGCACGCTCGGTTTGCGTGCACTCCTCTGTCACACGACACTTCTGTACACTCAAGAGCTCAGTGTCTTTCACGATAGTATGGATCCAGCGCTGACCCACAAGGGCCAACATAGGTGTACCAGGCACCAGCCATGGTCGCAGCAGCTGCAGCGGCACGTTTTCCCGCAACTGCCTCCGATGGGCCCGGAGACGGCAGTTGTAGCATGGCATCACGTCCTCACCTTCTGATTCCATGCGGACAATCCCGTCGCCAATGATTGTGGCTGGAACTAGCCTCTTCTGCGTCATGGATAAATACAGGACGGCCGCCCCATCTTTGTAAGCCTCCACCACATGATCGGCAAACCCTATTTCCGCCGAGTCGTAGAGCTCTTCCACGATGTCCAGGATCCCCTCCTCCCCGAACTTGGAGGATGCGGCTTCAGTGAGCTCGGCTTCCGTCTCGGATTGCTCCGTCTGGGATTGCTCGGCAGCGCGAGAGAGTTGGGAGCGAGCATCCTCGTATTCGTCTAGGCTCAATTCGTTTCTGCGGAGGCTTTCCCGGGAGGCGCCGCAGCTCGCCTTCGCGAAGCTCAGCCCCTGGCGCCCCTCCAAACCTTCCAAGTCCTTCATCATGGCTTCCGGGTCGAGGTCCCACTGGACCAGTGTCTTCTTGCGCGGCCTCAACCACCTTGATACCGCAGTCAGCGACAGCGGTGACTTGCCGGAAATGGACCGCTTTGGCGAATCTGCCTTCATGCGTGGGCTCAAATCCGATTCTGCAGTCGCAGCCGACAGTGCGGACTTTTGGGACAGAGACCGGGTTGGCGAATCTGCCTCGGGGCTGGGCTCCGTGAGCACCAACTTGCAGCTGAAGTGGACCTCGCGGACCTCCCGGCCCTGGCGACCCTGCGACTTGAGCCAGATCTGGCCGGCGTGCGGCGTCCCCAGGCGCCGGAACACCAGGAAGCCAGGGATGAATAAAGCACAGCAAGCCAGTCCAGCAAGAATGCCCGCTGCGGCGGAGTCTTGCACGAGCTCCTCGCTGTCCAGCATATCGCTGAAGGGGATGGTCTGTGCCACTGCAAAGAAAGAGGTGTGATTACTGGCGCACCAGGAGCCATTCAGGCCAAGGTCCTCCAACTCCCACTCCGTGAGCATCGCCACTCCATCCGAGGACCAAGCATCGAGGTTGGGATCGAAGAAGAGGCAGGCATCTCCAGTGATGGGCGGCTCTGTGGCGAGCCGAAAAAGGATCGCTTCCGTACCATCGACAAGTATCAAGGACACACGTCCAGAAGCTTCCTGCGCCAGTGAGAGGTCCAAAATCCCGGATCGAAGGCTGATCTCGTCGACGCTGCCAGCCTTGCCACGGGGAAGCTTGTTGGCAACATCTGAAGTCATCTCTGTTGCTAAGAGCATCAGGTTCGCACCTGCCGACGAGTGTCGGACAAGAGCAGAAGGCAGCAAAACTGAGATTGCACCAATGGAGACTGCCGACGAGTTGGCAGACAGTTTCACCACAGTGACGTTGCCTGCAGGCATTGCGGTCACATAACTGTCGATCTTCTCCGACAACGAAAGCACAGCAGCCTGAAGAGATTGGGAGAGAACCTCAGCTTGAACGGTCCCCGTCCCTGAGGGCAGGATCACATCACCAAGCAAGGTGGTCGAGGTCGTTGTACTGGTCATCGTCCGGGATGTACTTGATGTACTGGTGCTTGTGACTGTGGTGCTTGATGTGGTGGTGCTGGTGCCGGTGCTTGAACTCGACCCGCTGGACGTTGTGCTGCTGGAGCTTGTGGAGCTTGAGGTGCTCGTCGTGGTAGAACCCGTGTTGCTGCTGGAACTGGTGGCGCTAAACGTCCTGGTGGTGGAACTGGTTGAGCTTGATGTGCCGGATGTACTGGAGCTTGATGTGCTTGTGCTAGTGCTGCTGCTCGAACTCCTTGTGCTGGATGTGGTGCTGCTAGAACTTGTTGAGCTTGATGTGCTGGATGTACTGGAGCTTGATGTGCTTGTGCTGGTGCTGCTGCTGGAACTTGTTGTGCTGGATGTGGTGCTGCTAGAACTTGTTGAGCTTGATGTGCTGGATGTACTGGAGCTTGATGTGCTTGTGCTGGTGCTGCTGCTCGAACTCGTTGTGCTGGATGTGGTGCTGCTAGAACTTGTTGAGCTTGATGCGCCGGATGTACTGGAGCTTGATGTGCTTGTGCTGGTGCTGCTGCTGGAACTCGTGGTGCTGGATGTAGTGCTGCTGGAACTTGTTGAGCTTGATGTGCTGGATGTACTTGAGCTTGATGTGCTTGAGCTGGTGCTGGAACTGGTTGTGCTGGATGTGGTGCTGCTGGAACTTGTTGGGCTTGATGTGCTGGATGTACTGGAGCTTGATGTGCTGGTGCTGGTGCTGGAACTGGTTGTGCTGGATGTCGTGCTGCTGGAACTGGTTGAGCTTGATGTGCTGGATGTACTGGAGCTTGATGTGCTTGTGCTGGTGCTGCTGCTGGAACTCGTCTTGCTGGATGTAGTGCTACTGGAACTCGTTGCTGTAGAAGAAGTACTCGTAGCGGAAGTGCTGGTGCTGCTAGTAGATGTAGACGAACTCGATGTGGATGTTGAGGATGTGCTTGTTGAGGATGTCGACGTAGACGAAGTCGATGTGGAACTGCTGCTGGTGGAGGAAGTGCTCGTAGTGGATGTGCTGGTGCTGCTCGTGGA